TACTTTAAAATTAGTTTTTTGTTTCTACTTTTGTATTTACTCCATATAAAAATTAAATAAAGTTATTGGCAGTGCCATATCGTTAAAAAAAAAAATAATAATTTCGACCATTTTAACCATTTCAGATATCTGAAATGATCCATTTCGACTTCATGTATAACCATCACCACCACCACCAGCAAAAACATCATCACCATTAACAGCAGCAGCAGCAGCAGCAATACTATCACCACCACCAGCAGCAAAAACACCATCACCATTAACAGCATCACCACTAACATCAGTAGCAGCAGCAGCAATACCATTATTATCATCATCATCACCAGTAGCAGCAAAAACACCATTACCACCAACAGTAGCAGCAATAATACCATCATCACCAGCAGCAGCAAAAATACTATCACTATCAACAGCAACAGCAGTAGCAATACTTTCACTGCCAATAGCACTAGCAGCATCAGCAGCAGCAATACCATCACCATCAGTAGCAAATACAACCCAACCATTTAGTCAACATTTTGGGATTTTTCGTAACAACAATAAAGTTGTATATCAATCTTAAGATTTTATTTGCAGTAATAAAAAAGGAAAATTTGAAGAAGATTATCTAGATCATTCTTGGTTTGTAAATTAAATTTTTATTATTTGGTTATTTTAATATATATAATTTAATATTTAATAGTTGCATTGACAAAATGCTATACACTATCTTACACTAAATTACCAGATTTTAGTCATATGATTTCGTACATCAGTTTTACAATTGTTTTTGTTCCATTATATATATAAAATAAAATATGAGAAAACGAGTTGTCAAATATATAACGCGAAAGAATTATTAGTGCATATCTTAGTGGCACTAAACAAATAATTATTTCTGACTACTAAATATTCCTTCTAGTACAGTATATAATACAATTAAAAAATACAAAGAAACTGATTCCACAGAACTTAAGAAACGTTCTAGCCATCCAAAAATGCTTACTAAATAGGATAATCAGATTTTACAACGCATTATCTGTGATAATCAGTTTGCTTCTCTTAGTAATATAACAGATAGTTTAAGTTCTAGACTTAATACCACACTTCATTATAATACTGTTAGAAAATACATTTATAATGAAAGTTTGGGTAATTATACTACTTGTAAAAAACCTCATTTAACTGCAGAACATCGAAAAAAAAAGATTTGAATGATGCAAAGAAAAATGTAAATGGAAAGAGGAATAGAAGCAAGCGGTATAATCAGATGAGTCCAGGTTTGTTCTTTTTAAGTCAAATGGTTATGTAAAGGTTTGGAGGAATTTCAGAAAAGCTTATAATCAAGATTGTATTCAACCTACAGTTAAATTTGATGGAGAATCAATAATGTTTTGGGGTTGTTTTGGTTGGCATAAAGTTAGACCTTTGGTTGTAGTAGAAGGAAGTATGAATTCTGATGATTATATTAATATTCTTTCTAACTCTTTCATCCCTTGGATTAGTAATTATCCCAGTTATATTTTCAGTAAGATGAAGCATCCTGTCATACATCTTCGTATAGTATTTGGTTAATGTTAACACATAATATTCTAATTTTAGACTGGGTTAAAGATGCTAGCCGAAACTCCCTCAAAATAATTTCATCATATCCTTTACTATATTTTAATATAGTTTCAGCTAATTTTGGGTTTCGGAGTATCGTCGTACCCTCACTATGTTTTAATATAGTTTCAGCTGTTTATTAATTGCCTTTTTTGAGTTTCATCCTTCACCTTTAGACTGGGTGATGCAAAGTTCAGATTTAAATCTGATTGAGAATTTGTGGAACTATTTAGACTATCAGGTCTGAAAAATAGAGACTTTACCTAAATTAAAATAAGAGTTAATTGATGCTGTGAAAGAAGAGTGGAAAAAAATTAGCTTAGAAATATTACATCATTTAATTTTAAGTTTATTTAACTGGATCAAAGTAGTAATTAAAGTTAAGGGTAGGCATACTAAATATTAGTCTGAAAATTTTAAAATTTTAAATAATAGAAATGTAAATGTAATGCTTTCATTTTGATAAAAAAATTTTGTCAATTTATTAATAAAAAAATTTTTTTTGCATGATTGTAAAAAAACTGAATTTTATATATAATTTCTATATATAACAGGTGGTTAGTAAAAAAGGAAAAAATCCAAAATTTTTATTAATTTTTATTATTAAGCCAAATTTGTGCATATAATCGAGATTAGCCAAATGTTCTAATAATATAAATTTTGACCAAAATTTAGATTTTTTCCTTTTCTACTGACTGCCTCCCATATAGTAAAAAATGGTAATTTAATATAGAGCAGTATATAATATCAATAATTTAGCAGATTATCTTTTTAATCTAATAGCATTTTATTATTTGTCAATATATAATAATTTAAGTAATTTTTGTTTTCTGGATCAGGTAAATTATTTAATTAAAAAAAATTATTATTTTTAATAAACTTTATTTTTATTATGCTTATTTTTATTTTATTATTATAGGTAAAAAAATTATTTAAGGTATTTGGAATGTATGCAGTAAATTTCAATACCATTTGCGGATATCATATTGATCATAATGATGATAAATATGGATTTTGTTGGCTTGTACCATTAGGAGATTGGGAGGGAGGTGATTTAATATTTTCACAATTAAATGTAAGAATAAAATTAAAACCTGGAAATATTTTAGCATTTAGGTCAAATTTATACTAAAGCTCTTACAAGATCTAAAGGCATATGTAGAAAATACCTACCAATAAAATATAAAGCAATTCAAAAATTTCAAAAAACTTCTCAACATCGTCAAATGCAAATGGTATTACTGCTGACTTTATTTGTGAAACCGTATAAAAGTGTTTCCCAACGAGGCGGATTTCACTTAGTGTCATCCGATCTCCTAAAATGGATTGTTTATGTAAGATTTGTGCTGTTTGAAAGACTAGATGTAGTAGTGAAAGCATTACCAATAACTTGCACCATATATGTACGAATATTCTTTGCACCCGTTGAATTCTTATCTAAATAGTCTCTCAGAAGAGACACCAATCCAAACATTGCTTCTCTGATAAGTTTTTCAGTGTCTTCCCAGACATGCTTTTCTACTGTGGCTTCGGGACCTCCTGACACCTCAATAAACACTACCTCTTTGTTGTTCGATGCTTTCATGCAGACACCGTCTGCTTTGTTTAACGTTAAATCGAAGTTCGGGAACAGAAGTTTCATGTCCTTGATACATTCAAGTTGAACCTCGATCCAGTCGAATTTATACTCTCTGTAAACCGACTGTATGGCCTTGAACAATGGCATAATTTGCTCTACGGTATACTTTCTCTCCCCGATATTTCGATCCATTAAACCTTCGCTAGTCATGGAAAAACTGAGTGAGAGTTAATCTGTTGTTTCAAGAAGGTGGTTTATGTAGAATCCTGGATAATACAATATATATACTCACAAGTCATAAAGAATTATTCTGCACATCTTCTGAAATTTATGTTCGGGGTTTAGTGAAGCCATGATAGTACTAACGAACCTATCCTTTTCAGACTAAAAGAGAGGTCTTTAATGTATACCCTTACACCATCTTGGAAGAAGAATTGTGCTAACTTACTGATAGTACGTTTATGAGCCATCGTTGAATTTCATCTGGAATTTCCGGAATTATAACATCTTGATCACCTTTCATGATCAAACCCTGTTCATTAATGTTCACCGAAATATGTTTTGACAAGTATTGGGAAGAACGCTCGCAAAGCTTTGGCTTTTGTGGGGTAGTAATGTCTTTAGTCTCTTTTTCTTCAAGAGGTTTCCGAGGTGGAGTCTTCGGCTGGTGGATAACAACAATTATTCAGATAGCTTTTATAAAGAAAATAGACGAAATAGATTCATAAAGATCAACTCACACCATCGTCCACCTTCCCATCAACGGTAGTTTCTGCACGCGCGCGCTTCTTCACGCTTTCTTTGCTTTGGGTCTTCCGCTGAATTTAGTATATAACGTTAATCACAAATTTTTTAACTGGGAAGTAAGAACTCATCTAGAGAAATATACCTTGCGATCACTTGTATCCTAAAAAGAGTATTGAGTAAGGCCGTCATTAGCAATAAGAACACAGGCATCTGCGCAGATTAATTATTCATGCTTACCTCAGTTAAATCAACGATTTCTTTATTCTGCAGATGATAAGAGGTCATTAAAGAAATGTTGAAATTTAACACAACATTATCGTCATATCCTAACCTTTTTAGAAAGTGAAAGATTTTTTCTTCGCTTTGGTGCTAACACAGACTCCACAGACTCGATCCGTACATCAGAGCAAGATGAAAATTGTAGACAGTTCGTTCCTGTATCTATATTGTTATCGTTCATCCTTTTTTTACGTAAGCGATTTATATTTTCGTTGGCACGCCAGCTCTGAACGAAACAGACAATAAGGAAAAGTGCTTATTAGTTCGATAAAGTCAGTGATCTAAAGTAATTGTCTCGACATTGCAGATAACTAAAAATTATAGTGAGCGATCTAAAAAATCAGAGGAACAAAGTTGCATAGTTGCATATCCACGTTGCGGACAACTAAAAGTTGCAGAGAACTAAAAGTTACGAGGCAACTAAAAGTTGCGGAGAACTAAAAGTTACGAGGCAACTAAAAGTTGCGGAGAACTAAAAGTTACGAGACAACTAAAAGTTGTGGAATACTAAAAGTTGTGGAGAGCAGAAACCTCTTGTTATAATTGATATAAAACCTGAAGATCACTCAAAAGCTTGTTAGCCTTCTTAATTTTTTTAGAATCTGGGCTCTTATTGACAATCGCACGAAGACTTTTTGCGAGCGCGTCTGCACTCTTACAGTAGTTCCGGCCAGGATCCCCTCCGTGAATACAGTTCCAATTTTTGTGAAATTTGTAAATAGACCAAGTCTCAACATCGTTCTCGTCAAAATAATTATGCCACATATTAGACATGATTTAATACTGAAAGGTTACCTGTAGATTTTCGGAAAGGTGCACGATTAAGAAAACGATTTATACGATTTATAGCACAACTTAATTTCCATAAATAGAATAAATTGGTATCACAAAATTTCTGACGTGTATTATGACGGGATTAAGAATTCGATGCTTATATAAGATTCGTCTATTATAAGCGCCGATTATGCTACGATCGCGAATTTGAATTTATTGCCTGAAGTGAAGCAAGTAAGACAATATTCTGTTCCATACCATTCGCCATGTA